TACACCTTAAAGGAACATGAGAATTTATTCTCCATGTAAATTTTTGGTTCTTGATCATCCGTAGTACATAAATATCCCTCATTGCCAATAGAAGAATGAGTATTTTGCAACGAGAAGACTGAAAGGACAATGGTCCACAGAATTGTAACGTTATTATACAAATCTGTCCCCATTTTCAATCATTTCAAATACTAAAAGGAAATTACTTATACAACTTTATGATATGGAATTAAAAAGAATTTAATCACACAAAATCATAATGTTTAGAGATGGAAGCCCAGAATTTTCATCCACCTATAGGCTAACTTAGTAAGGAATCTGCACAAGCACTGCAGGTGCAGGTGCAGGTACATGTACATAGAAAGTTCTGGAATAACCATATTAAACTAAAGCTTAATTAGATATTTAGTGTTTCAAGATTACACACTATATGACCAGCTGTTGCAGGGGATGGACCATTCCTTGTTATTGACTTCACAAAAGAACCAGCAAAAAAAAGTATCACCAGACATATGAGGTGTCTGGAAATAGAACAAAAAGAATTGCACTACATCTAACACGAGAAATAAGAAACGAAACAAATGGGACATGACCAACCCTCCAGTCAAGAAGGTAAAAGGTTTAAAATTTTGATGGAAAAAAATAAAGATAAGACCATGTAAACAACTAGGTTGTTGTTCCAACTGCCTTTAGATCATTTTCTAGCTAAAGAGTAATCATTATTTTGGATATTTGTTACAGACACCACTGATACTCAGGACAAGAATTCACTTAACCATTCTAACGTGGGTTTTTGTAATGCCATCATTTTTCATGGCAATAGATTAGGTTAATGCCCACAAAAAACTTAAACGAACTACCGAATACAATAAATAATAAAATTTTAACAAGAGTATATTATATAATCCTGCAGATTAAACCAAGGAAAATTTAGAGGCAGAAAAAAGAACATAAATCAGTGAGACAGTTAACTACCGTTTTCTCTCTTCCTCTTCCTTTCTGAATTTTTCGCTGGTACTTTTCTGCTCAATGGATCCAGGGCTAGATCCAGAAGATCTAGGATGCAGAGATGATGAGGAACTTCGTCGTCTTTGTTTCCTGTAACTCCTTGAAGTCGGAGAACGACTTCTATGGCGTCTTGGTGTTCGTGAACGACTTCTATGGCGTCTTGGGGAAATTGAGCGGCTTTTTCTTCTGTATAATGAATAGGAATTATTGAGCTAGAGATAAAAAGACTCTATTATAATATCATACAGAGGTAAGTATCAAGCTAGCCTACCACTTAGCACAGTACAGTTACCTCATACATTGTTAAGAATAAACCTTTGTGAGCTCCATCTTTTATCACATCACATGAAGAAGCAAAGTCACAATCGAGCAATGACAGGACACCCATCAGCACCCATAACCTGGTCACTTCCCATGTGATAGGAAGAACTGACTTATTTCTCAATTATGTTACCAAGTTCATGTCTATTCTGTTTGCTTTACACCATATTTTAGAATTTTTCCCCAAAGACTTAAATTTTCTCCCTCACTCACTGTTTTCAACAAACAGAGTAACCATGTTTCTCAAAGATTAAATACCATCCAGAGATACTCGACGATTATGCCACAATAATCAGAAATTTTATGTGAAATTCAAAGTAGCAAATCACAAGTACAGCCTACCAATCATGAGCACATAAACAATAAAAGAGGTCGAGAAGATCTGGAAGATATGACTCAATCTGAAAGAGAACGTCAAGAACGCCTAGCTGTTTTTTTTTTTCTTTTTTTTTAATGAGAATGAAGCAAAAAAGATATCCAAACCTAACTTGGACTATTTATATATAGTGATCAGTTTTTGTAAGTAAACAATAAAATAAACACGAAAACCCAATAAGCACAGCAACAAAGATAGTAATACTGTTTCCTGTCAGTATTATAATAATCAGAATATACCATAAACGAACCTTCAATTAGTGTAATCAAAGTCCTCTTACCTCATCACAGAACAAGTCCAAGAGAAAAGTAAATTTAGGGCAACACTGAAAAGCCTTCATATTAGACAGAAAAACAGGGGAAAATTTTCAGCAAAAGGGGCAAGATTCATGCAGAAACTCCGATGTCAGTGAAATCCAAATCGCATCAGAAGACATGGTGTCGTTGTTCTTTTCATAAATTGTTAATGATTATTCACGCGATTAAACGAAAGTAAATAAAATTAAGAACATAAACGGGATCACCTGCTATAAGATGAATAGGGTGAACGACTTCTGTCTCTTCGACTTCTCCTGGAATACCTATGCCCTAAGGGGGATGGTGAAAGCCTCCGCCTATACGAAGGTGATCGAGATCGAGATAAATCCCGAGGCATCTTGTATCAACAAGAACAAATCTTCCACTCTGTAAACAAAGTACTTCCCTTAGTACTAACAAAATCTTAAAAACAAACAATCAATAAACATCCAGAAACTGGATTTAAGGAAGCCACAACTTCTTCTTTGATGTCCATAAACCCATAGCAACAAAACAAGAAGAACCAACAATTCAACGAATAAAAAAGGTCAAACCGGACGCTCGATTCAGGAAGCAGACGGACGGAAATATCCACAAAGAGGCTGCATGAAAAGCAGCGAAAACCCTACTACAGAGACAGGAGTAGCATAAAGGGCAATTGAAACCCTAATTAGACGCAAAAAAGAGGACCATACTGAAAAGTAGAGATGTATATTACCAAGAATCGCTGCTGCTGCCGGAGTTCCAATCCAGATTGAGGACTCGTAATTGAGGAGAATCTGGAAGAAGGAATCGGCGGTGATAGGGATGGCGGAGAAGAACTGATGCGAGTCGTACCTTTCCTCCGTCTTCGTCGTCGCTCCGATTGGAATGCCAAAGCTGAAAGAACCGACGTCTCTAGTAAACCAAAGACCCTAAAGAATTGTTCTCCTCCCTTTTAATTTATAGTTTATACATTTTATTTTTTTAAAATAATTTATTTTTTTAAATATTATTATTTAAAAATATTAATTATCTTAACATAAATTAAGATAATTCAAAAAAAACTCAATCAATTTAATCAAATCTAACTTTATTTTTTAAAAAAAAAAAAAATTAAATCTTTTAGATTGGGTTCGTTAAACCGAATCAAATCCTTACTAATAATATTATTTATTTTAATATTTATTCTCCCACCATTTTTAAATAAATAAATATTTTATAAATTAACATTATTTTCTTCGGAAGAACTTGAACCAACTTAATTCAAAAAAATTAAAAAAATTAAAAAAAATTAAGTTCGGTTCATTATTTAATAAAGATATTTGAGTTCAAAAAAATCACAGATTAAACAATTTTTTTTAGGTGCACACAAGAAAAAGAATATGAGATAGAAAAAAATAAAATTTTGACGTAAAATAATTGCCTAGGAATTTTTTAAACGGTCGAGATTTTGCTTTTTTTTTTGTTGAAATCGCTTCCAGAATCGGATTTGCTTTTGTTTACAGATAATTAAACGTAGCATTAACAAATCTACCTTTGTTGGTGATATGTGTGTTAGTATCGAGGAAAGTGAGATTTTGACGAAGCCTTTGCTTTTTGGCCCTTAACTTCATTTTAATTAATTTTAATTAATTAATTGAGATTTTGATGGTAACAAACCTACCTATAATATTAATAATTTTCAGTATTTTGTTCGGAATCACGATTTCAACTACTTTTCAATCATTCAAATTAAAGTTAAACGAAGAAATTACAATCGAGGCAAGATATCCGACGTGATGATGTGAAAGCTAAATTAAAATGATGAAAAATTAAAGTATGACATTTATAATTTTAGAAGAATAAACATTATATAAAATTATTTATCTTCATTTTTAATATTACTATATTATATTTTGAAATTTTGGTTACTCTCATAATTTTGATTATTATTATATTATTATATTTATAATAAATTTTAAAATTTAAATGTAGCAGGAAACTCATATTACTTATTATTATTATTATATTATTATATTTATAATAAATTTTAAATTTATCGTGTTACTCACATCCATTTTATTATTTTTATATTATATTATTATATTTAAAATATAATAAATTTTAAATTTATTGGGCTACTCACATCCATTTTATTATTTTTATATTATATTATATTATTTAAAAATATAATAAAAATAAATTTAAAAAATTTCCATTTTAAGGGAATCTTCAATATTATTTCTACTTTTTTTTCTCTTCCAATTTTATTTTTCATGTTTTATATTTTTATATTTTTTATTTTTCATAATATCTTCCAATTTTATTTTTCATAATATCTCCAAGCTTTTAATTTTATTTTTCATATTTTTTATTTTTATATTTTTTATTTTTCATAATATTTTCTAACTCGTTATTCTTGTTTTGACTTCGAACTATTTTATTATATTAATTATATATTATACTTATTTGTAAGAAGTTTAATAATTAGAAAAATTAATCACGCTTAAAAAATCCTTAAAAACCCCATCTGACATTGACATTAAAAAAATTAATCACGCTTAAAAACTCTACTTTTATCATTAAAGCCCTATTCACCCCTCTAGAGTTGCCATACCGATCCTAACATATTGCTTTTGATATCTATTATTATTTATTTTGATTTAGTTTAATCTTAAAAGAAAACTTACACACAATAAGAATGTGATGTTCATCAAAAACCCTAATGAAGCCCTCATCATTGGATTTATCAAACTGGTAAGAGAAGGCATACCTCAAATATAAAGAATTGTGATCCATTGCAAGTATTTTTTTTTTTTTTTTTTTGGCATCTTTGTCTCATATCCTTCAAATCAAGCATAACTTTTTGAAAACGAAACCAAATTCTAAGTCGAAAATCAGGTCGTACCTCGTAAACCAGCTAAACAAGAGGATGGCACGAAGAAGGTGCCCATTACAAGTGAGCATATATAAGAAAAGACCTACGATTACTAAACGAAAAGCATTTGACAAGCAACACAACTAAATTGGGTATATCATAGATAAACTGGTGATATGTTAGATTGCTTAGAAATAAGACGCGTTTTGAATGAGTAACGAATAAGTAATATTCAACATCGCAGACTATCGAGGTATCTAAGGCTCATAAGATAATGAATTTAAATGAAAATCCGTGATGAAACAATTCTGTAACTATAAGATTTGTGTGATGCTAGATTGTAAGAAAAGAAATTCAGAGAACAAGAAAGAAGAAAGATTACTATTTCAAATGAGCTTCTTTTTCTGGAAGAATCGCTTCAAGTACCACAGTTGAAGTGTTGAAGCCAAAATACAAACACCCAAAGACATTATGCTAAACCACGCCACTCTTCCATTTGTTTTCTCACTTACTATCCTCATTTCTGCTTCCCTGTGTGGTTCATATATACATTACACCAAATAGTTACTCAAAACATTCATGGAGAAAATTTTGTAGAGAATTTCAATAGTTTTTCCATCGTAGATTACCTTTCTTTTAGGTACAAAATGTTCTCATGAATAGCCTCTACCACGCCTTCGAGTTTCCGGAGCTCAAGCTCAACACCCTACAAGATAGCGATTTGGAAAACTTAAAGGTTAATTTCCGAAATATAAGAGAAATTCTCAGTGGTAAATCTAAGAATAGAAACTTATCATCCTAGTTAGTGAATTTGAAATGTGCTTAGACGTCAAGCGCATACACGTGCAAATACAGAGCCTTGTTTTGATTCAGTTGAGGAATCATTGCAAAAGCACGCACTAAGACGCGTATCGAAATGTTTTGACAAGCTATTGAGGCACCTGCATTGGTGTTCGATTTATAGGAAAAAAATGGTTGAAGTTTATGGACATGATGCTTGGTCGAAAACATAATTTTCCACCCTAATCCTAGTGAGTTCTCTCCTAGTCTTCAGTCTCCATCCCTCATGGTCTTCAACCATTGCTCTCATCTAATCCTCTTATTCTGATTCAGCGTTACACCTCAAACCATATCCCTCCAATCCATCTTGGAATGTCCATCTCTTTCTGGTTCATGCTTGCTATACAGTCTTAAATCTCTCTCTCGTTGATGCTCACTAGAGAACCCTGAACTCCCTCCTTGTTACGCTAGGCAAGCTAAGAAATTCCTGAGTATTGACAAAGGAACAAAAGATGAAACCACGGCAGAGGAGGAAATTGTGCTTGCTTCTCTATGTTATATGCTTCCACTTGTGTTCCTTGGATTAATTTTTTGTAATTACGATCTTGCATAGATTCTGGCCAATTCGGACTCGTTTTTTTAACCCTTTGGCCTTGTGGGGATGATACCTCATCTCCCCTCTTTTGTTTGGTTCCTCTTGTTAATAGTACCTTTCTCTATATCCCAATAAAAAATAAAGTACACACACACACACACACACAAACACAAAACAACAGTAGTGCTAGCTGATGTACAATAAGGATTGAGTGCCCTCCGAAATGTTGTCCAAAGGATTCCTTGGAAATGAATGTGAGATTTTTTTTTCAGAAGCAAAAGGGTTCCAATGGGCTGATTGTGGAAGACCAATACAGCCTTGGGTAGAAATTAAAGCTCTACTACTATCTCAATTTCCTTCCTCAAAGAAGAATTCCAGTGCAGAAAGTTGTTGCTGTATGACAAGAAGGCAGCATGAGAGAGGATTGGAAGCTCGACATTCAACTGGCATATAGTCCTCTCAGAAAATCCACATCTTCTCCCTTAATTCACCCATGGAGGACACTCTTTCACAAGGACGAAGAAGATCTTATGGGAGAAATCTATTAGAGCTTTTTGCTGGAACATTTGGTGAGAAAGAAACAGAAGAATCTTTCAAGAAAAGGAATTATCCTACCTTAGATTTTTTTAGGCTATAATTAATACAGTCGTGATTTGGTGTAAACACTCTCTTACATTCCATTACTATAGCTTTGCAACCTTCTAAACCAATTGGAGAGGTCTTTTGTAACTATCCTCTTGGGTTCTCCCCATCTTTTGTAATTTCATACTATCAATGAATTTTTCTTATCCAAAAAGAGAGAGTATTCGAAGCTTTCTGAAATCTTTGCCGTGTTTTTGTCTGATATATCAAAGGAAGTCTTGGAGAGTAGTTTTGTGAATGGTTGAAGGTAGAAGTACAAGTCAAGGTTTGAATGTTTGATCCAATCAGACCAGTACTAAGTATGCAGGCAGTGCACGGGATGGAAAAGAGGAATAGTCTACCTAAATATGGAACATATCAATATCAAGGGAAGTCAGTGTCCATTGTCCTAATTGCACCTGGGGAAAGGAGATCAACAAGTTGGACAAGGATAAAATCATTTACTTCTCAAATCTTAAACCAAGTGCTTTAGCACTCTTCTAAGGTATTCTTGTTCATAGCCACACCTTCCAAGAACACAAGGAGATTCTTAAATTGGTATTACAAGCCCAAGAAGACCAGCAATTGATAGGACTCCGATATTGAAAATAACCTCAAAGTTGTTTACAAGATAAAATGAAACAATAATACCCAACCACTAGCACTTGAGAGGTCTGGACTTCGAAGAAAACTCCCCCCCCAAAACCAAAAAAAAAAACGCACCTCAATTTTTTCCTTTCTTGCAACTGATTCCCAATCCTTAGCTGTAATTCCAGTTCTCCATTCAAGACTTAAGCTAACATCACCACCACGCTCATGATGGCCATCAATCCAAAAGCATGCCAAATGGTTGCCAGCCTCTGCTGTGGTGAAGGCAAACTGCCCATTTGTTTGATTCTCCTTGTGGTAGAGGTTGTTACCGTATGGTGATGTTACCTTCGAGAGGGAAAATATACAAATGGAATATTAAGCCAATGATACAAAAACATAGATCAAGACATCGGCAGGTTGTTTCAGCAGGGAAAAGATCTGATTTATTATATCTTCGAATATTCCTTCAAATCCGTTCAAGATAAATGTGAAATATTTGGCAATCAAACAAAATAAATCTGGTGATTCTTCTAATTTAAAGAGAAACAACGAGCTGGGTGGAAGTTAACTTTAAAATCTACAAAAGCCCAAGTGACTAAGGGAAGAGCCCCAAAACGAAATCAATTATATCACAAGAACTAAAACTCAAGTGAAGAGAACCCAACAGGCACATAGAAGAAGCCCCACTGTTCCAACAATCACATTGTCCTTTAACAGTCAGCCTACTATTGAATGTATGTGAACGTGGATGTTTCTAACAGCACCCATCGCCCACCCGGCACCAATAACATCCATTTTCCACCATATTCGTGCATAATACAACACTACAAAATCTGAGAAAAACGAAAAGATCTGTATTCGATCCATCCAAGATAAGCAATCAAAATATTCCGTAATTTCAGTTCATCGCAGTGATTCTTCAATTAACCAGACAAATCCAGAAAGAAAATAAAACAAAATCATCGAAAAACCCTAGCGTTGACCGATCCAGGGGAAAAAGATAGCAGAAGTAGTTCACCTTGACGGAGACGGTGGGCGCATGGGTATAATTCTCAGAGATCACAACATAATCAGCCAAAACAACGACGTTGTTATGGATTTCCTCAGACACACACTTGGTTCCAGTAGAAGGAAGGTTGAACCAAATAGCATGGGTGGGGCGCACAAGATCCGCCGCCAAAAAGCTCAAAATCAACAGCAAAGAAGGCAGAATCATCCTCCGCTGCTCCATTGCTGTCTTCTCCGATTCTCTCTATCTCTCTCGCACTGTTCTTGAATTTTTACTTTGACTCTTGCTTCGTTTCCAATTCAACTCTCTTTTGCACGATGTTTTTAGAAAACTGGAAGCATTTCGTTGGTACGCCGCCATGCTTACTTATACCCCCAATTTTCTAACACTTTAATTTTTTTTTTAATTAATTTGAAATTTTTCGCCCGGTGGGACCACTACCAAATCCACTCTGTCAGGGAAGGGAGAGAAAGTGACCCAAGCCCATCCGTAGCAAATATTATTTCTTTGAACTCTAAAACGTATCAGTTAGGGGAAGGTTTCCACACCCTTATAAAAGGTGATTTGTTCTCCTCCCCAACCAATGTGTGACATCACACTTTTTGAAATTTATTACTTGTTCGAGGGGAGGCCCAAACGTTTAGATACTTACTTTTGGATAAGTGGTAATTTTGGTAAACCTAATAAAATATTACAGTAGTATTTAATTTCAAGGGGATTTGTTTAACGTTGAAATTCTCGTTCAAATTGAATTTCATACCTTAAAATCAACTTATCTTATTAGATCTAAATATTTTTATTTTTAAACGGCTTCATATGTTGCACTTGTATGGTTGCTGGATGTATGAGTTATACGTGCTGTGGAACATGTTTTATGTTTTAGGACGTGTTTTTTTCATGGCTTTCATAGTTATCGTCATAGCCACTTTTGGGTGGTGATACTAATTGTTAGTGATTGCACGTTGGTTATTTCATGTGGTTACCAACATAAACAACTTTGACACGATGATAACTAATTAGTAGTAATTATACATTGGTTTCGATATTACCATCATAGTCGCATTCGGAAGATGATGACTAATTGGCAGTGGTTGGACGTTGGTTGTTTCTTGAATCATGTTACATGGAAGTAACGACCTCTCCATAGAAACAATTCTTAATGAAATAGAGCTAAGATAGCTAGTTTAGACATGGTGTCTCGAGGCACGTTCTAAAACCTATTTTAGAAATTTTGTGCTAAATTCTTGAATTTAGTAGAAATACATGATGCCTCGATACATGTCGAGCCCTTGTTTGAGAGATTGTGTTAACCTCACAAGTTTAGCAGAAAGACATGATGTCTCAAAATACGTCTAGATCCTTGTTTGAGAGATTTTTTTTTTTTTTTTTGTTGAACTAAGGGTCCCGACATTAAGACCATATGCCTTAAACAATTGAACTTCAATAACATTTATCCGGTCTTTATTAGGGAAGATATGTCATCATTCCTTCAAACCAAACTAAGGAATATTCATATCGAATAAAGAGTCAAACTTTTCATTTTTCTTTTAATATTACAATTCAAACAAGTAGAACTTCAAACCTATGATCAATAGAAGGACTTGACAGATTAAACTAGGCTCGGAGGCAAAAAAACATCAACTTGAATATCTTTTTGATCATCTTTGATCGATCGTCCCGTCGAAGAATGTGGTAATCAAGCAATTAGTTGTGAATTCATTCGTAAAAGAATGATCAAACTAAGTTAATCATTTAAGCAGATCAACCTGTAATCAAATAATTCAAAAGAAGAATGATCAAATAAAACCACAAATGAGGAGAAAAGTGCTCACTTGTGCTTCTATTCGATGCGAACGATCTTGCGGTTCAAATATCTAAACTTGCAAATTTCATCAAAGAAATCATCAGCACTGCTATGACTACTCTTCATTCGAAGAATCTTTATCACTAGTGTCTTCAAATTCTTGCCATACTTTATCAACGACTCGAGAGTATTCATCTTCTGTTCGGCATTCAACGGCGACCGAACCAAAATCGATACTTCCTCCAAACACGAGATTACAAAGTCCGGATCAACCTAAGTACCAAAAAAACGCAAGTTATAAGCCAAGAAACCCATCTCAAGAAGAATCTATCTTGCTTGGCCCTAATCCTACTTACATTTTTAATGCAGTTCTTGGGGCAAAGTGCAGCAAACATGGCTCCATGAATGTCAAACTTTTGCAACTTTGGATGGTGATTGAAAAACTCAACAAAGTCGATCTCAGGGAAAGGCTCAAGTGCATCAAAGTCTCCAGTGAACTCAACCTTCATATAAAGATGCTTAACCTCACTCCCCCATTCAAGCATTTTGCTTATTGCATCCCAACACCATTGGACTCCTCTTATGGACAGAGACTCCAGTGAACCAAGCTTATCAAAATCCACCATGTAAACTCTTCCTGTAAACATAAAGAAAGAAGAAAATGAGTATCAAATGAGTATTCAAGGTCTTGAAATGAGTATCAAATGACTATTCAAGGTCATGGAATGAGTATCAAATGACTATTCAAGGTCTTAGAAATGAGTATCAAATTAGTTTGAAGTAATGAACTTGCAAACTACTGTTAGGAATCCCAACCCTTCAAAATGGTATGATATTGTCCACTTTGAACATAAGCTTTCGTCACTTTACTTTTGGTTTCCCCAAAAGGCCTCATACCGATGGAGATGTATTCCTTAAAAACCCATGATCATACCCTAAATTAGCCAATGTGCGACTCCCTCCCAACAATCCTCCCCTCAAACAAAGTACACCATAGAGCCTCCCCTAAGGCCTATAAAGCCCTCGAACAACTTCCCCTTAATTGAGGTTCGACTCCTTTCTTTAGAGCCCTCAAACAAAGGGTACAAAACATACCTCAAACAATCCTCCCCTCAAACAAAGAACACCATAGAGCCTCCCCTAAGGCCTATAAAGCCCTCGAACAGCTTCCCCTTAATTGAGGTTCGACTCCTTTCTCTAGAGCCCTCAAACAAAGGGTACAAAACATACCCTTTGTTCGACACTTAGTCACTTTTGACTACACTTTCGAGGCTCATAACTTCTTTGTTTGACATTTGAAGATTCTATTGACATGACTAAGTTAAGGGCATAGCTGTGATACCATGTTAGAAATAACGACTCTCCACAATGATATGATATGTCCACTTTGAACATAAGCTCTTATGGCTTTGCTTTTGATTTCCCCAAAAGACCTCATACCTATGAAGATGTATTCCTTACTTATAAACCAATGATCATTCCCACCCAACAATCCTCTACAACTTCCACCTAGTAGAGACTCTTCCCTTTAAAGGATTGCATACAAGAAACGAATACATTCCGTGAATCGTGTCGTGCTCGCAAACCATAAAGATAAAGAACATAATCATGATCACAAAGGTCTTCAAATGAGTCTGGATTAACTTTTTTAAGTGTAGTTCTAGTTGTTCATAATAACTTGTGGAAGACTTTGTAGTTATGATGATTACCTGCATTATTTGCAATTGAAAGACTTGTCAAGGAACTTGTCCCACGGGCTCTAATCCAACTAAATCCTTGAACTTCAAGGAGTTGAAGTTTAGGGGAATTGATCATAAGTGAGCAGTTCCCCAAGCCATAGAAGTCCAGCTTACACTGTTCTAAGTGCTTCAGCTCAATTGAAACTGAAGTTAAACCTTCACAGCCAAGGAGCAATAAATTGGATAGATTAGGACATGCACGAAGAGCAGAGTTCAATGCTGGATCCTCTATCTTGGCACCAACAATCTCAAGGTTTTTTAGCTTTTGGAACACATCCCACCTAGGTGTATGTGTCATTAAGACACCCCATAGTTTAAGTGACTCCAATTTTTCAGCAGATTTAAGGTATTCCAACTTGGAAGGGCTATCTTGACAAGCTTGGAGATCAACCAAATTATCCATTCGTAGCTCGAGTCGTCGAAGCGAGGGGCCGATACTAGACAGCCATGAAGCAAGACCAGCACTAGTAAATGGACTATAAACAACAAGCTCCTCCAAGCGAACAATGGATGAAACTATCCTGCAAACAATGACGTCAGGACTCGACTCGCCCGAATGACTGTCGAAGGAATTGCGAGGGAAATAGAGACTTTTAATGTAGGGCGTCGAGTCTTTCCAACGCTTGGATACGCAATTGCAGACAGCTACGTCCCGAGCGTTGGTCATATGTGACAAGATGTACTGAATAATAGCATCTGGGAGTGAGTCCATTCTGTGAGGAAATTCATCAAACAGATTGTTGTCAGAAATCAAACATCCCACTAACGAAAAATTAGCAGGGGAGAAACGTTAATCAAATCATTCAACACAAGATTATTGAATATAGAAGAACTCACAAGCTGATTGATTCAACAAAATTCACTGAATTCGCACACAAATCATAGAAAATCATAAGTTACGAACTGTTCTACATGAAAATCTCTTTAAAAATTCCTCCAAAATGAAACAACAGATCTAAAGGGTGAAAGGAAAACAGATTTCCCCGATGAATTAGAATGAAACAATGTGTTAAAAGTTCTTGATTAACAAGAACAAAGGCAAAACAGCCGAAGAAATCAGTAGAAATTGCAAAGTTCAGTAGCTAAAGTGAATAAAAAATCAAACAAAGAGGACGAACAAAATCCAAACAAAGGCAAAACAGCATCGAAGATTCAAGAAGAACAACAAGAACAAGAACAAAGATTCCGAGCAAAACCCATGAAAGGAAAATAGTGAAATCAAGATTTGGGGCTTACAATTAGTGAAATGTGGGAAGTGGGTATTGTGGGGAAGAGGATCTGAGGGTTGGGGTTGGTGGAAGAACAAGCAAAAGCGGCAACCTAGAGAGAGAAAGAGAACGAAGAAGGAGCGCACTTATAGAGACGTTTGGAAGAGGAGGGGGGTTTGGATTTGGGAGGGTGTTTTTCAAAAAACTTGAAAGCTTGGAAGTTAGGAGGGACGATTATTATCTCTCCCTCTTCTTTTGGATTTCCCTCCTTCTTTTTCAAACTTTTTTTTTATTCTTTTTTTTTTATTATTTTTTACTTCCTAAATTAATAAAAAATATAAAATTATCCTTAAATTTTAAAAACTTAATACTTTATTTCATTAATACCTTTGATGTTTTTTTAATTTTCTTAAAATAAAAATACACTTAGTATACGACAGGTACTATATTTTATATATAATATATATGTTTTTTTTGTTATTTTAATTAATTATAGATTTCTTTAATCGTTTGATTGATATTAAATTTAAAAATTTTAAAATAAAAATACACTTAGTATATGACAGGTACTTATATATTCCAAACTGTTCTTTTAAGATTTTTGTAACGTCTTATTGGTTGATCGTTTCGATATTATTATTCAAAATATTTTAATACAATGCAATATCATCCATTTACATTTTTAGTGTAATTTTCATTTTCATTAATGTTTATAAAATGTTATTTTTCAATTTTATTTATTTTAAAAAAATTAATGCCTGAATTATATTTTTACAAAATGCATCCTAATTAAAAGAAAAAAAAATAATATTATTCTAACAAACTTAAATCATTTTTGATATCTATGGCCAAAAAAAGGGATAAAAGCATATATATATATATATATATGTATATTTAAATCTCGATACCAATATTGATTTAGTTCTTGTTATCATTTTCGCATATATGACCAAAACTACTTGATAAAAGACAATCTAAACGCCCTCCTTCCTTGCTTTGTCCAACTATATTTCGATTTATGGAAAGGTCACGGTTTTTGGACAAAACTAACCGATAAGACTAGAAATCTATTTGAAACTTGACTTTCCTTCATCGCTAAAACAATGATGAAAAAATATCGTTATTATTGCATTATTACAGCAATAATAAATTTTAATAAAACTATATAAAAAAAAATAATTGTAGATTTTAACGTTTTTTTTTATCGACCTTAAAAAATCTAGAAAGAAAATAGGAGAAGAAAAGAGGAGGAAGAAACAAAAGTTACGAGAGAGCGGCCAAACGAGAGAAATGACAAATATTAGAAAGTAAGCCAAAATATAGATAGTAAGTTGAATAGATTTGGTGCAAAGTCACGTAATGATTATTTCCATTGTAAAATATGGTAAACACAATCGATCGTACAAGTAGGACCCACAATTTTAAATTTTCATTGACGGGTTGCGATCATATCGGGAATATGACCTACATTAAATGGTTTTTTGAAGTATAGGTAAGATTGTATAACTATGAGACGTAAGGACAAAATTAAACGTCATATATTGTAACGTCAAAATTATAACTTTCCCAAAATTATGTCGTCATATATTTATTCGTCTACTGTCTTGGTAAATAATTTAAATATAGATTTGAAACAAAGCAAAAAAAAAAAAATAATAATAGAGATAAAAAAAAAAGTGATTGATAGAACATCACTTAAAAAGAGGATTATGGTTTCAAAATCCCGTTCTCACCGTGATACGTCACGATTTTGATAGATTAGTAATTTTAGTTATTCTAAAATCACTCTCAAACATGCAAAAAAAAAAAAAAAAAAAAAAAAAAAAAAAAAAAAANAAAAAAAAAAAAAAAAAAAAAAAAAAAAAAAAAAAAAAAAAAAAAAAAAAAAAACTAAACCGACCCATGTTGTGAGTCGTCGGAGGTTGCACTAGTTGTGACAAATGACTAGAGCATTAGAGTTAAATGATGTTGTATGGTTCAAACCGGTCAATGACCTAAGTAAACCACAGGTTTTAACTCAAATAACACATTGAAAAGTCTCGTGTATATTTCCTTCACATCGCACCAAGTTACTCCTGTTGTAAAAAAATTCCAAAAAAAGAAAAAAAAACCACAACTAAACCGACCCATGTTGTGAGTCGTCGGAGGTTGCACCCGTTGTGACAAATGACTAACATTAGAGTTAAATGATGTTATATGGTTCGAACGCGGTCAATGACCTAAGTAAACCATAGGTTTTAACTCAAATAACACATTGAAAACCCTCGTGTATATTTCTTTCACATCGCACCTAATTTACTCCTGTGGTAAAAAATTTCCAAGAATCTTCGCCAACTTTTCTGTGAAATGAACAAAAACTCGTTTGAAATGACTTTCAAAATACTTACTAAGAAAAATAAAAGATTTTAAAACGTTAAAGTATTCATAACGTCATTTCGAACGAGCTCTAACTCAATCCGATCCGATGCAAACTACTTTGACAACCTTATTCAGTAAGAGATAACACCAGAAGAAAACCACTAAGCACTCAATCTAGCCTGTGGAAAACAAAGAGAAATTATACAACAATTGCATCATTTCAGTTTTAAAATGAATCCTTCCAGTTGGATCTCAGGGTACATCAAAGGAAATATTATCCACCTAGCAACTACATTTTATCAAAGATTTATGTGGTCAATTTGCACCAAATCTATTGTCATACTGCAAAACTGGGAATTGAAGAATGCATCGACAGGAAAGAAAGATCACGACGAACCTGCCGTTACCTTTTTTCGAACAATTCTCTTCCTCCGTGCTTTCGGTATTGATTCACCTTCAGAGACGGAGTCAGCACCGGTCTGTTTGAGACCGAGAAGTCCAAGACCAGAAGTTATGGCATTCTTTGAAATAAACCATTTTGAGGAAGACCTATTAACGTCTTCCGAACGTCGGTTGTAAACCTTCTGCAAGAGGTCGCTCGACTGAACCAGTGGATCTGCCTCTACTCCAAGCCAAGCCAATCTTGATCTTTCTCCTAGTTGCACATTCAAAACCCTACAGACAGTTCCAGAATAGTTTCATTCAACATTCTTTAGCTAATACTGTCTTTTTGGATAAGATGAATCATCACCCTTTGTTTAAACTAAGATCGTAAGAAAAACGGGAAAGTTTAAGGTTCGGCTAGACATAAATTTCACAAGGGGGAGAAAAGAACAAACCTCAATGCAGAGCTGAAAAACAGGGCGACTCCAATAACATCAAAATGATTGATCATTGCTCGGTCAAAACCACATAATAACTGATACCGGAGATTAGCATAGAGCCCGAGAAAAGCGCCATAACCGAGAGCGTTGGTGCTCACAGTTGGAACTGATACAGATAGCCTGGTAAACAAGTACACAATTCCAAGTCACGAAAAATGGAGCACTCGGTTAGCCTTTCGATTGCCAAAATGAAATAACCTTTACCTATCCTTCTTTTTCTTGGCCAGAAAATTGGACAAAGCACCTTGAGCTGCTCCCGCAGTTATACCGACCATGCACAACTCGGCAGCTTTGTAGAAAAATGAATGGATTCTCTTTTGCAAGTCAAATTCCCTCATAGGATAACTTTTTTCAAATAAATTATTGGGAAGTTTCTGCAATGTATTTTGCAAATCAAATCGGAATGTATTTCCATACGAACGGCATGGAGCAAGTGACCAAACAACAATAGCATTGCACGCAGTTACAGTAAGAACATTAATGAGCGCCAGATCCCATTCCTGTTTGATCCTGGAGACACAACAATACAAAGGTTTGTAGCCAAGCAAATTAAATAATATGATGAACAAAGTTTTACACAAGACTAGAGGACGAACCTATCCTTGCGATTCTTTATTTCCCACCAAGCTGTGCAACCAATCGTTGCAGCCTGCTCTAAAAGAAGCCTATAGAGAAAGGCAGGATCTGCTAACATCCTGAGCAAATATATGATATCATGAGTTAAATTTTATAACTATGCATATTCTCTCGAAGGGAACATGCAGTCTTTCACCGAAATAAAACTAGGGATCATGTACAGAGAAAATTCAAGCATTGGGAACAATCAGAGAATATTTAAGATTGAGAACATTATAATAGATTTGTTGATCTAAAATACGATATTCATATCTACTTTATGAAATTTGGTCAGAAAAGCAACCATCAATTGTTGGGGGCCATCAAATTTCTTGAATCGAATTGGTGTGCTTTAACGTTTTGTACTTGGAGCCTGTTTTGATTGACTTAAGTGTCAAAAAGTATTTTTAAGTGCAAACGAAGAGTTTTTGGAAGGTTATTCCAAACAGGCCTTTACCCCCCTTTGTTATTAATGCAACTAGATAAATTTTAGTGCCCTCGTTCACTCACGCTCCCCCCCCCCCCCCCCCCCCCCCCCCCCCCCCCCCCCCCCCCCCCCCCCCCCCCCCCCCCCCCCCCCCCCCCCCCCCCCCCCCCCCCCCCCCCCCCCCCCCCCCCCCCCCCCCCCCCCCCCCCCCCCCCCCCCCCCCCCCCCCCCC